GAAAAAAGTCGGGGCACTCCCACATGCCAGTTTCGGGAGCAGAGTGAAGAGGGTGTTTGGCCTTCACCCAGTACTTGAAATCAATACTTCTATACAACCAAGCCATCCCTCTATGCTTTCTCTTGCCACCCACCAAAATCCTCCAATGACCATTATGCCACCATGCAGTTGTTGGGTCACGAAATTGGCTCGAGTTCATCTCCTGGCTAGGAACTACTAGGGGGTTGTCATCGGGTTTGATCCATTCGCGAAGGAATGGGTCGGAGTAATTGGCAGGAACGGCATAGTTTTGGATCTGACGCTTGTCCGCATCGAGTCCTGTGTAGAGGATGATGGGCTTGTTGCCTGGGAGAATGGTGGCGGAGCCGGACCAAGTGCCGTTTATGTCAAAGGGTTTGGAAGGGTATATGGCTGGGGGGAGGGCTTCCCAGTTGATGAGATCTTTAGATACTGAGTGAGCCCACACAATGTTGCCCCACACTGCACCTTTGGGGTTGTACTGGTAGAACAAGTGGTAGATACCATTGAAGTACATGGGTGCTGTAAATTTGCAAAAGAGAAATTAATTTGAGGGTTATATTTCTAGATTTTGGGGGGGAAAAAAAAGGTGGCAAAAAGTCTTCAATAATTAAGCACTAATTTTCCAAATTTACATGAATTCAATTTTATCAGAATATTGGCCGCCATGGAAAGGAACACAAGATAAAAGTCAGTGAGTGTAACATTAATAATCAATGGTTAAAGGAATGATAGAATTTATGTAAAACACAGTTCGTGTTAGTATCGTACTTACCGTTAATCCAGTGCTTTGGAGGCTGAAAGTGATACCCAGTTCTATGGAGTTGGTTCACCTCAACGGCAGCAGCATTCTGAAGCCTGGAGTATATGTTGTGTGAGGCCTTAACGCCATTGTTGTTTATGACCAGAAAAACAGAAGCAGCAAAGACGAAAACCAGACCCAACTTTTTATTCAACGTAGTATCCATTAGATCCATAGAAACTGCAGAGAATATATCAAGGGAAGGAACTAGATTGAAAAAAGATCGGGAAATGCTTTGGGATAAATAGGGCTTGGGTTATCTATATATAGCACTAGACTTTGAGAGAAAAAGAGTTTGAAATTCTTGACGCCATGCATACCCTACATTACAAAACAAGAAAAACCAATCAGGACGGTTGCATTAGAGTTGTTTTCCTTACTGGATTAGAGTTGGATGTTTTTTTTTTTGGGGTTAAGGACAGGTATGTTTGAAACACAAACAACCTTATTATCTATAGAAAGCTTGTGCATGTTTTTTGGACATTTGATTTCTGTTTCAGTTCTTATCTATAAGCTTAATTAACAGTACTTCAGATAAACTTCGGTTTTATCGGTGGATTGGGTTCTTATCTCATTTTTTGGATATCCATATACCTATTGTAGCGGATTATTTTAGGGTATAGAATCATCTTTTCTAGGGCTTCAAGTTAGGATTTTGACCCTTGGACATGGGATTTAGGATAAGTGTTATCAGGCACACTATTGATGTTGGCAATCCAAGTATTTTAGCTTTAATGTTTATTTTATGTGAAAATTATTTATGCACTTACAAGAGAATTGATATATGCTTGGAAGAAATATTTATAATGAGCCGATTTGACTTAAGACCAAAGATATTTATTCCAATCGTGAGGTAACAGGATTGTTTTGTGCCTTAATGTTTCCCGTTGCCTTTTATCTATTTGATACAAAAGAAAAAGTAAGGGACTTTGCCATATAAGGGCAAATAGGAGGGTGCGAAATTAAAATGATCCAACATCTCAAAAATTAAACAAATCGGTCTAGTTACTTTCTGACAATGATATTGAACAACTCTTGTGTCACTCACTGAGAGTGACATTGAACAAGCCGGTCCTATTGTAACACCCCGACCCCGTTTATTTTCCTATTTAATTTAATTAAGGGAAAATATTAAATTATTCCTGGGTTAAGGGTGATTTTGGTCACTTTCTTATCCGGGAAGATTTTGGGACCGTGAGTGGTGTGGTTGCGTAGGTGGTACCGAGACGAAACCGTAGACAGGCGGTAGGCCTGAATCGGAGATTTAACGAAGTTTTGGCGATCAAAACTTGTTCGGTGGCAGAACCGTAATTATTTCGAAGTCAGTTTGGGGTAAAAAAAATCAGATTTTCACATTTACCCCTCACTTTCTCTCTCTTCCTCCCGCGTCTTCTTCTTCTCCTTGCGATTTTTCCCTTCCCGTCACTGTTCACCGATCGGAAACCACCACACAGCCGCCACTTCCGACCACCCCGTCCGACGAGACCGGTCCCCTTCGCACCCCAGCCTCTCCCCCTCCCTTCCCCCGCCCCCACCCC